ATATTATAGTTAGTAAATAGTTAGTTTAGTGTCTTCTTGTAATTACAGTTCAACTGAAATTCTAACTAATCAGTTAAAAGGAAGACTGTTCTTCAATTCTGAATTTGCTCTCTACCTAGATTTTCAATGTGGTTTCAAGGGTTTGGATCCCACTGTCTCTCTTTCTAAAATACTGCACCAATAATTTGCATTTCAGAATAGCACGATGTGTCAGACTAAATAATTATATGGTTTTAACACCATAGAACATTTACATTTGGTTTAAGGCAAAATAGCAGTGCTGCAAAAATAAAACTATCTTTTCTTTGTCACTTTCAGTTACACTCAAACTCAGACAAAGGTGATGGCTCCGTCCAATATCTACTCTCCGGAGAAGGTGCCGGTACCATATTCACAATCAACGAGTTAACGGGCGAAATTCATGCAAAGAACAGCCTGGACAGAGAAAAGAAGAGCCATTATGTCCTCCACGCTCGGGCTGTCGACCGCTTCACCAACAGAGCTGTGGAACCCGAGTCCGAATTCATCATCAAGGTCCAGGATGTGAACGACAACGCCCCTAAATTCCCAGATGGCCCCTTTTCAGCCTCCGTGCCTGAGATGGCAGACATCGGTGAGCCAACAGTCAGGACCTCCGGGCTCTGGAGGGGGGTCTGGGGCTGTGCTCGGGGAACAGAGGAACATTTTGTCAGTAGAGCATAGGTTTTATTAGCTGGCTCATCAGTTTCAGACCGCAGAGTCCCATTGCAGATCTGAGCCTTTCTGACCTGGACTCGAGCTCATCTCAAGCTGCTGGCTGGTTGTGGTGGATTTATAGCGGGATTTATTAAATCTATTGTTTCTTATATAAAGCCTCTCAAGAGGATATCGTCTGTTGTAGAAAAAGCGATTTCAGGAGTAATGTCAAAATCGAACCAATATCTCACATAAAAACCTCACACATGGGGTGCAAATATTTTGAAGTGCTTCCAAATGAATGCAGCATTCGATAAACAAAAACCAGCTGTGTTTACCTCTTTTTACACCCGTATCTCAATTTGAAATGTCAATGTTTTATAGATCTGTGCTATCCACGCTAATACATGAGTAATCCACATGCAGAGCTTGCAGTCTGCATCAATGGCAGTGCATATCAACCCTGCAGTAAATGGACTGTCAGGAAAGTGCTAATTGTCCGCAGAGTTCTTCCTTCCTATCCAAATCAATTGGCTGGACTCAAGCCAAAGAGCTGTGAAATTATCATTCCTCACAACCTGTCGGCACAATGTTCCCCTCCGGGCACAGCTAGGGTAAGGGCAGGGTTTATTTCTCACTTTTGGTACACTGTAAAACTTTACTGTAAATTTACAGGTATTTTCTAACAGTATTATACTGTATTTTTATAAAACAGTAACATGCTGTATATTTTACAGAATGTCTGTAAATATACAGCAGTTTTCTGTTTTCAGCCCACTCAATTTGTAATACAGTATCATACTGTAAATGCATTGCATTGTGGGATAGATTGCTTTCGCGCTCAATTCAAATGTGATGTGATGTGAACAGTGTAGGCTACTACAGGCAAACTGGATTCGTCAGCGGGATTTAATTGAACAGAATAATCATTCGCATTATTAATATACTATTTAAAATAACTGCTTTCTACTTGAATATATTTTAAAATGTAACTTATTCCTGTGATAAAAGCTGAATTTTCAGCATCATTAGAGTCTTCAGAGTCACATGATCCTTCAGAAATAATTCTAATATGCTGACTTGCTGTTCAAGAAACATTTTAATATTATTACTATTATTATTATCAATATTTAAAACACTTGAGTAAATTTTTTCAGGATTCTTTGATGAATAGAAAGATCAGCATTCATCTGAAATAAAAAGCTTTTGTAACAT